CAACCCTAACACATATGTTTTCATTTCTCGAGTCCAACTCAACTACATCACCTATTATAACATAAGTTAATCACTTCACCGTGCATTTCTTGAGTCCAACTCAACTACATCACCATGCACATCATAGGTTACAACATCATATCTCTCATGCATTCTTGAGTCCAACTCAACTACATCACCATGCATATCATCAATCACCACGTCATGTCTACCCAATGCAATTCTATGAGCACGGGTTCAAGTACATCTCCTTACATTGGCATAGACCCCAATTCCTAAGCACTCGCTATGCCTAGAATTGTAATATCAATAATCTATTTTGGGACATCCTTACGGACTGCCTCATCATGACCTTACATCATATTACATCAATATATTCACTTGCATCACAATCAAGTACAACAATTACAATCAAACCCTTAGATTCAATTCTTTAACAATTACAACAATCCTTAACTAGTATTTCAATACTATTAAGATTATTCTTATCCATCATATATTCTATTTGTAAACCCCTACATATTTAGAGATATGTAACAGCAACTTAATCATCCAATGTAATACATAATAATCATTTATGTATCTACACAATTCCCACATGAGAAAAATGCTTATTTCACACAATAGTTCATTTAACTCCATTTTTATCAATACATTTCCAAATCATTTACCATTTCATTCTTTGGCAAATATATCAATATTCCATCAATAATTTATCATCATAATCCATGAAAAACATGATTTAGGCATTTAGGTAATCTCATGCTTAACCTACAAGTTGTAACCTACAACTAGATGTCGATCCTCACCTCAAATGAGCTTTAAATTGTTCCTTCTCAACCCAATGCTCAAGCTTCGGCCAAGGGGGTTTGAGAATTGATTCCTTGCTTATAAATGAGTGTTAAACAGCCTCCTCAAGGTGCTAGATCAACTCCTAGCCGAAGACACGAAAACAGTCCCTAGAACGGGTGTTTTCCGGCGAATTCGTTCCCTAACTTTTCAAGGTTTTGTCTAGGTTAGTATCTAACCTTTCCAACAATTAAAGTTGCTTTATAATAAAATTTTATACGCTTCAACCAGTGTATAATAGTTCTTCAATCATTTATATGATTTAGACAATAGAGAAGAAGGTTTTGGATTCAAACTTACTTTGAATACCAAAAACGTATTCTGCGAGGTTGCGTTTTGTTCGGACGATTTGAAGGTCTTAATCTGCTCCGTTTTCTTAAAAACGCACGTCTATGGATTCCTATTTTTGAGATCTTTCAGTGGACACCTCACACGCCCTATTTGGACCACTGGATCTCAAGATACGAACCAGACAACACCTCTCTCTCCCTGCTCGAGCTTATGCGCAGCAGTTCACTCAAGTTCGATTTTTATCTGAAAATATCTCTCTCTTCGCACATCAACCACCCAATAAGTCAACTAGATTTCAAGGGATATCCAGGGACACCTTATACACGTCATTTGGTCGAGTAAAATATCATGTATGGAGGGAGACAAATCACCCCCATGATTTGTGCGAAATTTGACAAGGTGGGTCCCCCCTTTAATTTCTTTGTCTAAGTCCAGCCCCCAAAGTCAGATATGGCCGCCCCCTAGGATTATTTCTCTTGTATTGCATGTGATGAGAAGATTTTGAGCACACCTCAGTGTTCAACTAATACTTCCAAAGATGGAAACATGGGTCCTATTGTTTTATCTTTTGTCATAAGATGTCTTTTGTACTCATTCTAATTTATATAGACCAAGTCAACCTTCTACATTATATTATTGATCTCTAATATGTGTAGGATGGTTCCCATAAATTATATGATGTATAATTATCAGCAGGAACCCTACTCCCATAATTTAGCTTAATAATGCCAAAAATGGGATCATAGGCATTTGTATTCTTCACCAATCATTCAATCACTTATTTATGGCTTTAGTATTCATATTTATGCGCTACTAGCCGTTTGGGTTACCCTCTAGTGGGTCTAGGACGCCATTCTTGAATAATTGCTATTTTTAGCAGGTTAGGCCCAAAATAACATTTGGGCCGCCCGACCGTTCTTACTTTTTATCGAGGGGCTATATATCTTTGTTTTAGAAGATGACCCAATTAATTATTTGGAAGTCCGTTACTATTATACGAGCCCAAACATAATATGATTAATCACACTTTACCTAAAACTTTAGTCGGTTTACAATTGTTCGGAAATAGGGAAATTCAATACATAAGCTTTGAAATTTAGTTTGAATTTCAAGGACATTCGGGTGCAGTGTCACAAGTTCACCCCCCCCCCCCCCCCATAACAGGAATTTCGTCCCCGAAATTCACAATGCTACTCAAATAGGAAAGCGTATTGCTCCCTCATCAAGCTGGCTATGATGCCCGATAGAGCGGTCTGGAGCTGATGGTCAACAGCAGGAGTGGTCTGTTGCCCTGATGCATGGTCACCTTTCTCCATGCGCTTCTTACCAAGGCCGATGCGGGCGTCTTGAGCATTGTCGTTAAGCTGATTGCAAAGGTCAGCCGTGGGGTTGATAGTCTCCTGGAAGATTTCTTCGTCCCCTGCTTTGTCGGCCGTAGCGTCGCCTGATTTCTCCTGGTTTTCCTTAGTGTTAGGCACGGTTTTGCCGACGAAGTTACGGTTTGACCTTGTTTTTCCCATTGTCAGTTAGCTATGCTTGGTAGTGATGAAGGATGCTAACTTGATTGTTCTAGCTCTCAATGAGAGCACCAAATGACAGAGTATAAACTCTTAGAGAGAAGTGAGAGCTAGAGAAAGAACTGCAATAAGCATGCAATCAATGTATTTGTCAACCCCTTATGACTACCCCCAAGGGGAGTATTTATAGGGAAAATATGGACTAGACTCTCAAACCTTGTATTTGTCAACCCCTTACAACTATCTCCATTTACTCCAAAAAAGTAATTTTAAATACTTTTATTCCTTGTTTAGGATCTAATATATCTTCTTTTAGGAGTCTTGTCCTACTTTCATAGAAGTTTTACATTTACTGATTTACTCCCTTTGATCAATTTTTTATAACTTCACAGCTAAGAATAAATAAATACATAAGTAAATAAATATGCAAACATTTGACGAATTTATATAGTAGCTCCCGTTTCAAATATACTCAAAGTCTCAAATCGAAATATTTTGGGTAAACCCCTTTATGGTCAAATGAGCCCGTGTGGGTTAGGGATGTATACGAAGCGGATCGAGTCAAATATTTAGTAATTCGTTTCGAATTCGAAGGTTTTGACTGAGATTCGTATTTGTATTCGTTTATATTTCGAACCTATAAAAGTATTTGAATTCGATTCGTGTACTTAAATGAATATTATTCGATTTGATTCGAATATTCGTATTCGAAAATATTTTCACTTGTTATCCCTTTTTTTGTGAATACTATATTTTATTTAGAATTGGAATTGCAAAAAGTATACTGGTTTAAACAAACCTATACAAAAGAAATATAACAGAAATTTTTTATGCACTATATCATATTATCATGTAACCAAACATCCAATACAAACGGCTTTCCCTTAAGGCTTGATCCCTTCTAAGTTCTAACTACCAGTGGTAGTCTACCACATAAAGGTAGCAATATAGGGGCAGCCCATCTATTCACCAAAGTGCAGCAGCAATTCAACAAACAAATCTGCCAAAGCTTCCATACTCCATAGAGGGCCAAAAATACAATGGAAAGGGAGTTCAAAAACAACCTAATTAATAGGATAGTACCAAAACTAAGAACTGTTTTTTACCAAAATCTAAGAGAACAATTTTTTTACAGTTTGAAGATTGCAACCTCAAATAACTGCAGAATTGATAGTTTGCAATCCAAAAGAATCTTTGCTGTTCAGACTGAACAAAAAAAACTGCACCTTTTTTTACAGTTTGAAGATTGCAGCCTCAAATAACTGCAGAATTGATAAAGTTTGCGATCCAAAAGTAGCCCTGCTATTCAGACTGACCAAAAAACTGCACTTAAATTTTGCAGAACGCAGGCTCAAAAACTACCATAGTCCCACAAATTTAATCCTAATCCAAAATTTATAAACAGTAGCTAGAATCACAAAAATGATGCGCCCACAAGGCCTGTCATATACAGAAGACACAAAACATGAATAAGAATAAGAGTACAATTCACATACTCATAAGGAAATCAACAATTTTTACAAAACCAAAACAGTATCGTACCAAATCCATTGTCATTCGAGCATCATAATCTCAATATGACTTCAACAACAGGTTCTTCATCCTATAAAAACAATAAATACAGCTTGTGTCACAATAATGTATAAATGAAAAACTAAACTTAAAATGTAACTTACATATATCATGATTGGCTTCTTAATCCCCTGAAGCAGACGAACCCAATCAGCCCCACAGATCAAAACTTGTACCATATCTAGGGATGTATACGAATCAAATATTTTTTGTTCGATTCACGATTTGATATCGTATAAATGGATTCGAATTCGGTAAAATCAAATACAAATACAAATACGAATATTGCAGTATCCGATTCGATAACTAATCAAATATATTCGAATAATAATAATAATAATAATAATAATAATAATAATAATAATAATAATAATAATAATAATAATAATAATAATAATAATAATAATAATAATAATAATAATAATAATAATAATAATAATAATAATAATAATAATAATAATAATAATAATAATAATAATAATAATAATAATAATAATAATAATAATAATAATAATAATAATAATAATAATAATAATAATAATAATAATAATAATAATAATAATAATAATAATAATAATAATAATAATAATAATAATAATAATAATAATAATAATAATAATAATAATAATAATAATAATAATAATAATAATAATAATAATAATAATAATAATAATAATAATAATAATAATAATAATAATAATAATAATAATAATACGTACTCCGTAGTAGTGTAAGGAAATCCAACTATTCACTTAACTACTTTAGAGCCCACTTAAGTTAGCCCACTTAAGTAAAAAAATAAACCCAGTGACCCCATCCGCTTTGGCTAGTACAACACTCCATCTTCCGTAGATTAGGTCACACTCAATTAACCAGATGAAGCAAAACACATGTGCGAGCTGTGATAAGCGTCGTGCACGTTCTTCTGTTAAGCAATCAACAAGCCGGCTTCATCTCCTCGCGAAACAACGAACTTCATCTCCTCGTTGATCTGATTGTCCGGCTTCATCTCCTGTTTTGGGCGGCTTCGTATTTCAGGTTGAGATTTTTCGAGGACTGCCTTCTTATTTCGATCAGAGCTTTAATTTTTCATGTTTGTATGGAATGTTTTTCCTGTGTTCCTTTCTTTATTTCTTTATAGGCTACTCTGCATATATGTTGATACATTCACTAGTCTGTGAGTAAGATTTATAGATTTATACATTCACTACAATTTGTGTACTTGGCTGCAATTTTAAAAAGAAGTTGGATAGATAGAACATACCTAGAATGAGCGGTTTTCATAATGATTTTGGTATTTGGTATAATGATATATACAAGATGTTGTATACAACTTTTGGAATATTGGAATTGGTATATCAAATGTCAGTAGGTAGTGACTCCAGTTGAATCAAATAAATGGGTTTGTACTGACAAAACTTCTCAGTTCTTAATAGTCACTCCTTGCTTTGTGTTAATTTCTCAGTTTCACATTTCTCAACAATGAATGACCATCACTCGCCTCAACAAGATGAGGCTGGAAACGGAGAAGTTGATGAGGTAAATAATATTATTTATTATTCTTGATATACTTCTATTATATAATGTCGAATTGAATCAGTTGGACAAAAGTTTTATTATTTTATTTTGTAATAGCAGGTGATGCAACAGCAACAATTGACTGGCACAAATAATGTTGATGTTGCACAGTTTCAGAATTTGGATGAAGTGCATACACACTTCGAAGATGAAAATGATGATGATAAGGTTGATGCTGGAAACAATGAGGATGAAAGCCATTTTCAAAGGAAGAAAAGAAAGAAGGTTTCCAAAGCCCATTGTGAGTTTAATGAAGTGACTACCAAGGATGGAGTTGAAAATTTTCAATGCAAACACTGTAAGTCCCTTCTCAGCAAATCAGCTACTTCTACAACTAGTCATCTCTTGAATCATTTGAAAAGGTGTTTGCAAAATAAACTTAACAAGAGAAAACGGAAAACCTTACAATTACAACCAGAGAAATCTGCCTATGAAATGTTACTCGTTGGAATTCTACGTATGAAATGTTACTCGTTGGAATTCTACGTTAGGGTGAAGTTAAAGATGAAGTGGCTAAAACTAATTCCCAAATGGCTAAAACTAACATTTCAACGAGTAACATTTGGGAATTACTTTTAGCCACTTCATCTTTAACTTCACCCCAACGTAGAATTCCAACGAGTAACATTTCATACGTAGAATTCCAACGAGTAACACAATCTATGATCAAGCGCTTTGCATTAATTCCCAAATGGTGCACAATTTCAGAAAATTTTATTAACCTAGCCTCTGACTGATTAATATAGCGCACATTGTCTCTAACATCTTTGATAATATCTTTAATTTTAGAAAGACCATCCTGAACAATGAGGTTCAGTATATGAGCAGTGCACCTGACATGGAATAACTTACCACCCAAAGGCAACTTACGATTCCGGGAAAAAGTTTCTTTAGCAATTCTAACTGCCACATCATTGTTTGAGGCGTTATCCACTGAAATTGTAAATATTTTCTGCTCTATCCCCCAATCCTTGGTGCATTTCATCAGACCATCAATGATATCAACACCTACAAAAGAAAGAGAATATATTATAAGTAAAAAAACAGTACAGGTGATAGAGTATATCTAGAGAGAAGTGAGAGCTAGAGAGAGAAGTGCAATAATATGCTTCAATAGAATGATTTTGTAGCCCCTATAACTACTCCCAAGGGGAGTATTTATAGAGAAAATACGGGTTGGGCTCCCAAACCTTGGGCTTGGGAGGCCCATTTACAACTGGACCGCTACTGGGCCGAATACAAAGCCACTAATGGGCTGTACAAATGAGTAAGTGTAGAATCCGGTTCTGTAGAGTCTTCGTGGCCGACGAGGGCATGGCCGACGAGGGCACGGCCGACGAGGGCACCTGGGTTCCTTGGGCTCAGGACCATAATCTGAGTTGGCCCCTTTTCGGCCGACGGGGGCGTCTTGGCCGACGAGGGCGCCACTCTGTGTCTTGTGCTTTCTGTTCTTCCGAGTATGTGGGTCCGGGGGCTCAGACCCATATACTCCATCAGGAGTCCCCCACTCTCTAAGCTGAGATGTAGACGAAGTGAAGGAGAGTAGATTCACGTGCTTTAGTGCTTTTGGCCGATGCGGGCATCCCCGGGCCGTTAGCCGTTGCGGCGTTGGCGTTGTTTCCTCTTTGGTGATCCTGTTCTGTGCTTTGGCCGTTACCTGTTCCTCGTTGTGGGCGGGGAGGCCGTTGAAGTTGTTCCTTGCTTTGAGGACGATGGCGTCCTTTCCTTTGGGTGCCGATGAGGGTGCTCGCGCACTCCTTTTGGCCGTTGTTGATGATGTTATGTGCCTCTGGCCGACGAGGCGCCATTGTGATGTGTGGACGATGTGGCCATGCTTTGTGGTTACATTCATGTTCTTTGTATTGTTCCTTTTTGTTTTGTTGAGGCCGATGTAGTCCCCCAGTCCCCCACTGCTTCAGGCCGAAGAGTGTGAGGGGTGAAGGAGTAGCTTGGGTCCCTGGCCGAAGCGGCCTCTCCGTAGTCCCCCTGCATCCAACCCTCATGGCGATTTTCTGGCCAAGGTAACCCTGTGGGAGAACCCTTGTGCGCAGATCGCTTGTAGAGAGTTATCATCAAGGGTCATTACGAGGAGCCGATGGCTGTGGGCTCTTTGTTCCTTTTGTTCTGTGGCCGTTACGGGCGTTCATTACGTTCCTAGCCGTTGACATCCCCTCATTGTTTGGTATTTGTGATTTTGGCGAGCAAGTAGGACGTTGTGGGCGCTTGCGAGCAAGTAGGACGTTGTGGGCGCTTGCCGGCAAGTAGGACGATGTGGGCGCTTGCTGGCACTCGTGAAGCCGGCACGTGTACAGGCCGTAGACTCCGTCTTGCCAGTGGGCTGTTGATATTGAGTTTGGCCCGTTGGTGACGTGGTGGCCTCCCATTGGTGACCGTTGATGTGGCCATTGGGAGGGTGCCACGTGTAGTGACCGTTGGGTGGGGGGTTCTATAAGTACCCCTCCCCCTCCGACGAAAAAACGTATTTGCATTCTGAATTTGTCGAAGTGTTGGCCATTTTTCTAGAGAGATAAACTTCCAAGCTTGTTCTTCGTGTTCTTCGTTGTTCAAGGTTAGTGTTCATCGCCATCTTCTGTACTTTGTGCATACTTTGCTTCCTAGGCTAGTGATTTAGTGTTAGGCGTTTGAACACCCTTAGATCCTAAGTTACTTCCCTTAGGCTCGTAGTAGTTTGTTGTGATGAAGAGCTTGAACGAAGACTACTACCCGTACGACGACCAGCCCTCCACCAGGTCACTCGACTATGAGGTGCTCGAGGAGTTCGAGGAGGAGATAGAGCATTTAAGCCCCTACAAATCCGAAGAGCCGGTGGACGATGAGGTTGAGGACGAGGAGTCCGCCTCATCTTCGAAAGGTGAGGACGCAGCTGCGTCCCGAGTGGTGGACGGGGCGTCCACTTCAGCTGTTATTCCGTGCCCGCGGCCGATGTCCGCCGTTAAGGGAGCTGCTAAGCCGAAAAGGGTGAGGAGGCCGAAGAATGGGCCGGGCCTCTCCTACCTGGATCTCACCAACATCTTCCTGATTAAGCCGGAGAGCAGCGCGGCCGACTATCTTGTTGCCCAGATGTACGTGGGGCCGTTCGGGCGGGTTAGGGCACCCAGGCCGACGGACCATGTTCTTCTTCCGCCGTCGGGGTACTTTGGAGTATACCCGATGAGTTTTGCTAAGGGCTTGAGGTTCCCCCTTCACCCCTTCATCACTGAATACCTGGATATGGTAGGGCTTCCTCCGACCTTGCTGACGCCGAACAGCTATTCCTTGATGGTGGGGTTTTTGCTCCGGTGTGAGGAGCTGGGCTACAGGCCGACAACGGCCCTATTCATGAATCTGTACCAGATCGGCCGAGGAAGCCACAAGAACTGTGCGGCCTATGCTACTCTTCAACAGCTGCCGAAGAAGAGGAGCTTCACGGACTTGCCTTCGTCCATTCATGGGTGGAAGAGCAAGTTCGTTTTTGTATCCCTGGGTGAGAGTGACACCGAGTTTCCCTCTCTCGGCCATACCGGGAGGTTCAATCTCCATGACCCGCCGAAGAGCTCTATCTTGGACGCTCAGGTGGAGGCTTTCCTGGAAGGGGGGCCGAGGAGCGTGAAGGATTACGTTACTGAATACAAGATGACCGCCCTCGGCTTCTTTAGATACCATTTGTATGGCGATAAGGAGGATGACCTTCAACTCTGGCCGAGGATGACCACCACCTTTGAAGAGGCCGACGTCCCGGACTTGGGCATTCCTGCTGAGGCCGATGGTAATTATTTCTTCGGCTTGCTGTCTTTATGATTTGTTCTTTTGCCTTGCTAATCTATTGTTTTTCCTTTGTAGATTTCGCCATGGATCGTCGTTCCATAATGGCTATTGCCAAGGCCAAAGCGGCCGAGGAGTTGGCTGCTAAGGCGGCCGAGGCGGCCAGACGTGTCGCGGCCGATGGGAGTGGGGCTACTACTGGAGCGGCCCCAAAGCCTGCCCAATCGAAGAAGAAGAGGCCGGCCACTGACGGTCAGAAAAAATTAACTGAAGCCGGCCTGAACGTCTCCAAGAAGACGAAGAGGGCACCGTCTCCTTCCCCGGCTACCGAGGCCGGTACTCTGACTGTCCCGAGCGTGGACGATGGTGGTCCCGTCGTGGACCTTACTGCTGCTCCTAGTGATGCCGCCCAATCGCTCCCTATCGTCCAGGAGCCCCGGACGAGGAGGGCTGGCAAGGAGATCGCTGCTGCCACCTACCAGAAGTTGGTGGAATACCCCGTCGGCGGGGGTGTGTTTGACGACGCCGTCCTCGGCCATGATGTGCTGGCCCAGGCCATGCCGGCCAAAGATCGGGCTTACTTGAAGAAGCTCGGGGACGTGAAGATTTACGAGGGCGGCATGAACCTCCTCGTCCAAGTAAGTTATTTTCCTTCGTATGTGTCGTTTTTTTTTTCGTCGTCCATGTAGAGTCGTATGCCTGAGTTTTGTTTTCCTTTTTTCTGCAGAGTGCCTTTATGCTCATGGAGAGCCATAAAAGGCAGTACCGGGAGATAGCTCGTTTAAAGGAGCTGGAGCAGAAGGCTGCTTCGGCCGACGAGGCGGTAGCTTGCCTGGATCGGCTCCGGGAGGATGCCAGGGCTTTGCAGGCAAGGGCCGATGAAGCCGCTGCAGCCAGGGACGATGCCCTGGCCAAGCTCGAGGAGAGCAAGAGGGAGCTTGAGGCCGAGCGGCGCAAGAATGAAGAAGCCGTGAAGGCGAAGGCTGAGGCCGAGGCCGCCGCTGTGAGGGCTGCTGATGAGGCCGTTGAGAGGTTCCTGGCCGAGGGGTGGAAGGCCGATGAGAGGCTTCCCTGGTGTTATGAGGTGGTGGCCGCCAGGCTTGAGAATTGGGGGATGAACTCCCCCGCCGGCCAGGAGTATTTCAGTAGGGAGATGGTCGTCTATTATAACATGGGCCAGGAGCGGATGCAGAGGCTCCTGTGTCGGCGGCTGTCTCGTGCTCTGAAGGCCATGAACTACACGTCCGGGTGGGCCAGACGGAACCTGAAGCTGCCAAAGCTGATGAAGGACCCAGAAGAGCAGGCCAAGCTTCCTTTGTCGGAGCGGGAGTCCCCTATTGAAAGCTCCAGCCTTGGCGAGCCGGATTACACCGAATTTGATTTCTTGGACGATGCCACCAGCGCTGCAGCCGCCGCCGGCCAGGAGACTGAGGCCGAGGAGGGAGCCGACGAGGTCGAAGAGCCAGCCGCGGATGGAGGTGCCCAGTAGGCTTGATCGGCTACTCCCTGCTTTGTAATTAGCTTTTCATTTTTTTGCAAACTGATGTAATGGCCGAAGCGCCCCCAATTGTAATGAACTGACTATGAATGAAAAATTTTTGCTGTATTGCTTGGCTTGTGAATTCCTTGTATGCTTGTTTCCCTTTGCCATTTCAATTCTGAAATTTGTCTAAGTGTCAAGGTCACAAC